CAGAATACTCCAGGTGGGGTCGAGTACCCTTGGACGGTAAATGATCCAGAATACTCCAGGTGGGGTCGAGTAACCTTGGACGGTAAATGATCCAGAATACTCCAGGTGGGGTCGAGTACCCTTGGACGGTAAATGATCCAGAATACTCCAGGTGGGGTTGAGTACCCTTGGACGGTAAATGATCCAGAATACTCCAGGTGGGGTTGAGTACCCTTGGACGGTAAATGATCCAGAATACTCCAGGTGGGGTCGAGTACCCTTGGACAGTAAATGATCCAGAATACTCCAGGTGGGGTCGAGTACCCTTGGACGGTAAATGATCCAGAATACTCCAGGTGGGGTCGAGTACCCTTGGACGGTAAATGATCCAGAATACTCCAGGTGGGGTCGAGTACTCTTGGACGGTAAATGATCCAGAATACTCCAGGTGGGGCCGAGTACCCTTGGACGGTAAATGATCTTAAATACTCCAGGTTGGGTTGAGTGCCTTGGACGGTAAATGATCCTAAAACACTCGGTAGTATGAATCGAAGGTAGACTATAGCTTGTGAGCTAGGCAATCGGGAAAGGAGTTAGAAAAGTCAGATAAGAACTTTATCTCTAAAAGACTCTTTAAATGAAATGACCTACAGGTGGAGTATTTTACAATTATATATACAGTATGTATCATCGGGTGGATGAGTCACATATATATATATGTATCACCCTATTTTTGGGTCTCGTGTCTGGAACATTAGTTATTCTTCATATAGCCTGCTTGTCACTAGTACTTCTATGGAGTACTGACCCCTCCGGGGGCCCTCACATTTTTCAGGTTAAGGCTAGAGTCCTACTACCTGCACCTTTGCCTAGGGTGATTGATCAAGAGGAAGATGTGGTTCGTGCTTCCAATCTTATTTCAAATTTATAAACTGCTCATGGATTTTTGAACAATGTTTTCATTAAAACAGTTGGGGGCCTGCGTGCCTGTGTTTGCCACGTGTGGCTAAGTATCAAACATATTATTATTTTCGCATTTGTTTGATTATGATATTGATGTTGATTATATGTGTTTACTAATCGGTTTGGCAAAAGAATCAATCGGACGCCTTGTGCAATTCAATAGGGATGAACTTTTGTTGTTCTTATCGGGTTGTACGGCGGTTGTCTACGTGGCTCGGATGCGGTCCGGGGCGTGACAATCATCATCTTTTTTATCATTATATATGATCTTATCATCATTATTATTACTATTATAATATTTTTATTATTATTAGTATTATATTTTTATAACTTTTTTTATTATATTATATTATTATTGTGTAATATATGGAAATAAGATTCATTGACTCTTATTATATTTAATATTATTTTTTTATTATATTTATTATTATTAGTATTATTATCTTTGAGGTTGATAATTAGTAAATCATTTATTATGGAAATAAGATTCATTGACTCTTATTTTGTGTAACTGTGGTGAATTTATTCTTTTAACAAGACTAAATAATTCTATTTAAGAAAAAGACATATATACTCTTATTTGTGAACTTTGTTTGTATTTAAAATCTGTATTGAGGAATTTATATATCATTTATTTAAGCAATGTTCATTTTTCATGATTTGGTTTTTTATATTGAAAGGAAAATTGTGAGCCAGATGTAAGGGTTTCAGAATTTTGATTTGCAGTCACGCAGTGAACAAATCAACTACATTGTTAATGTTGTTTATAAAGAAGTGTTTCAAAATATGTAGTCATTGACAAACTGATTTTAATATTTATATAATCATTTTTCCTGTGAGGTATTTAATCCCTTTCATCCTTAAACATAGTTCATACAAATTATGAGTTCTAAATATCTGTTTCTTAATTATAGTTTTACATTATTTATTACATTTATACTCTTTTCATTTAATTTCACATAATTAATAATTATCACAGATCATGTAATATTATTCGGGTACATAGCATTACTTAATATTGTCACGTGTATCGCACGTGTGAGAATCTAGTTGTTCTCTAAGGAGAAGAGGGGAAAAAATTATAGAGAAAAGCAAATACTTTGCTTTCAGAATTTGGGCTTTGATACCATGATAAAATTGATGTAATAAAAGTGATAGAGTATAATTTTATTAATATTGAAGAGAGGAGTAAGCAGAGAACATGACTCTCCATTTTCTTATGTATACACTATGCGTACATGCATATATATATAGTACAACAAAGGGGTATGAGTCATCACAGGAGAGAGAAGATGACTCTTGTGTGGTCCATGCAATAATAGGAGTAATATCACTTGATACGTAAATATGTAAATATGCTAATTAGTAAAATAATAAAATAGAACATGCTGTAATAGGGTCTTGTTGGGAGGGCTTCACCGTGCGGAGAGCTTCTGGTGGCATGAATGGTCCTCCAGCTTCGGTTAAAGCCAGGTAATGCTCCGACCAGAAAACCCAGCTTCTTCATCTCATTTTCCTTCTTTTCTGCCAAAGTTCCACGGCGGCGGGGACGGCGGCTCCAGCGACCTTAACAAGACCTGGAAAAATCTAGATTGAACTTCCGAATTCCCTAGCTTCTTTTCCCAGAATCATCATTTTGTTTTCTGTTCACTGAAAACCAGTGCACTTCATATGAATTTTTTGTTGTTGTAGATGAAGAACAAGTGAATCGTTTAGAACAAGATTCCCACATACGACGCCAGTGTTGAGTTTAATCCAACACGATATAATAAATATAAATATAATTTGTTACGAACACTCTGTTTTTACGTGGAAACCCATAAAGCCATAAAGGGAGAAAACCACGGGACTGTTTAGGCTAATGCCCAAGCCCTCTCATTTTATTAATGATCTCCTTATCCTTACATTGTACAAGCTCCCATTAATGGAGTTTAAAATTAGCTAGAGAGAAGGGGAAGAAAAAAGGGGGTCGTTAATAAGCAGGGGAGTCCTCCTATTTATAGAGGAAAGGAGGGGGGGGGGGGGGGGGGGGGGGTGCTCCATCCTAATGGGCCAAGCGGCCAGATGGGCCCGTTGGGCCAAGGTGGGTCGGATGGCCAAAATGGGTCAAAACGGGCCTCAATAATTGGGCTTCGTACCAAATAATGCCACGGGCTCCTGTACAGTGGACCAGTGGTAGGTCGGGGTAATATATATCAACACATCTAATTAAGGTATACAAATTTTATTTAAATATTACATATATAGTAGAAAAATTTGAAAGTCCAAGGGGGGCGATCGCCCCCCACGCCCCCCCTAAATCCATCCCTCAGGAGTATATGATTTGATTTGGTATGACTTAAATTAAAAATCGCCCCTGCTCCGCGCGCCATCAAAGTTGCAATGCGCACTATTTTTTTCTTCCAAAGTTGGACAACTATGTCCTTACTCACGTAGTTAGGTTGCTAGGCGCACCCACCTACCTTTCTCTATAAAATCCGTATCATCATATACCTATTTAGGAAGCATCTCCATTATTGCTTCCTTATTGCTTCTACGTAATCATTTGAAGCATCTCCCTGAATAGTACGTAATTAAGTTGCGAGCCTTATTGCTTTTTTGGAATAAAATTAAGTTTTAATACGAGTATATCCTAAAATATTTTGTAACATGCTTCTAAAAAATAGGGAAAAATAATAAAAAAGCATTCTTAAATTTGAAGGGGTGTGAGGTAAACACATAAAATTTGAATATGTAATTAAAATACCCCAAACTTTATATAAAAAGTTATTTTTGCACCATTTTCATGCATTATTTCTTTCAAAAATGTAAATTTATGGTGTTAATTACATAATTTAAAATAGAAAATTAAAAATATTGCAATTATATATATTGGGGGTAACATTATTTATTTCACAATGGAAGTTTAGAATGTTAATTTCGTCTTCATGAAACGAAGGGAACGGCCAAACAAAAAAATCAACCACTTGAGACCCAAGCGCCTGAGAGTACACGGAGAAAAAATACAAAAAATCCAAGGGTACAATATCATATCATGGTTCTCGTGGATGTGGCAAGGATATTAAAGAGAAATCTTACAGACATCAAAATCGAAAGCAATTTAATTTCGGTACTGATATTGAGACATTCATGCTTGAGCATAGTAGTAAAGTTGTGGACGTTATTGGAGATGGACATTGCAGATATCACTCACTTGCAGAGCTTTTAGGATGGGGAGAAAAAAAATGGGTTAGATTCAAAGGGAGTTAGTGGAAGAATTAGATCGTCATCGTGGGCTGTATGATCCTATGTCTTCTTGACACTATTGATGACTTACGGGAGCAAATAGACTACTACATCAGTCCCGCACCACCCCGTCATTGGATACACATGTCGCACACAGGGTTGATCTTTGCATCTTTATACCAAGTTATTTTAGTGAATATACATTTTTCGACCGTTCACGAGATTTGATTAGATTTTTTTTAGAAAAATTACATATATAATATTGGTGTCAAATGAAAGATCATAAAAAGATATTTAATTTGGTATAATTTTTATAAAAATTGGAGCAAAAATGAAAAAGTTATGACATCTTATAAAAAAAGAGATTGCTTGCCACATGACATCATTCTATTGGATGCATACTTAATGTAAAAATGATACGGAGGAGCCTGGCATGGAGCTGGAGGTGCGCAAAGAAATTTTATTTATGTTTTAATTATACTTAATTTTAATTGATAATTAAGAAGGCCAAATTTGTCCACCCAAGGTTAGATTAAGCAATTTTGGGGGTGCATGAAGCAACACCCTTAAAAATTAGACAATTTCCATGGTACCTCAAGATCCGAAACCGTACATGTTAAATGTTTCCATTCAAGTCTTCTCCTTTTCTGCTACACAAATGCTATTGTCACTTTAATTTGTACCCCATTTTGTACTTCTCTATATCTGTAATTTACAAAAACACTTCATTAAAATAGAGTAATTCATTTAATGTGTCGGGCTTCCCGAGGTATAAAAAAATCACAGAATATAGGAAGGGGACAAGTGGTCCTTGTGCCAAATGAGAGAGGTACCTCTCGCAAAGCTCTTTTTGCTATTGCCCTGCGACTTCGCTTATATCGTCTTCTTCTCTTCAAGCATCAATGAGGAGCAGAAATCAAATCGAACGCCTCCTTATAGCCGCACAGTCCTCCATCGACTCCCAGAACTTCGATGACTGCCGCAAAAAAGCCCTTCTAGCCCAACAATCTGACCCGCTTCACCCGGGTCCTGCCCAACTCATCGCCATAGCTGATGTCATTTCCGCCTTTTCCTCCACCATCAGCAGCGCTTCCTCTGGCTCAAGTAAGAAATCTGACTATTACTCCATCCTCGGCGTTCCTCGCTTCACAGGAGATCTCGACGTAATCAAGACCCGTTTTGAAAAACTCGCTGCCCTACTGAACCCTAGAAAAAATCCATACTCTCTCTCCGGTTATGCACACGGACTCGTTAGCAAGGCTTGGCGTGTGCTTTCAAACCCTGCACAGAAAGCCCAATTCGATGAAGAGCTGAGTTTGAAGCTGAAATCTACGGAGAGATCGGAAAAGCAGACTTTCTGGACCGTATGTACACACTGCTTCTATCTGTACGAGTATCCCGCGGAGTACGAAAACTGCTCCTTGAGGTGTCAGAACGAGGAATGCAGAAGTGTCTTTACTGCAGCTGTCAGCGCTCCCCCGCCACAGGAAGTGATTGAAAAGGGCGACTATGATTGCCTGGAGGGTATGTCCGCTGGAATGAGGAAACAGAAAATGGTAGCGAATTGCTCAAAGAAGTTGATGGGGAAGGGGGTAAGAGTTCTTCAGGTGAATGGTTCTGTTCCTCGGTAGAGGTACTGATATGATTGAAGTCTTTTCACGGGATGGAATTGATAGTTTTGGAGATTTTTGTGCAATGGAATCTCCTTTCTCTTTTCTGTGTTTCTAGGCTCTATAATGCAAATATGCAGAATGAGGCATTTCCATGTGAAAATTAACAGGCATTGGAATCCCTTGCAGCCTCTCTGTGCTGTAACCATTTCTTAAATTTAATTCAGTGCTCCTACTATATGTTTAATGCATGCACTTGAAAATAGTCAAGTATATCTGAAAAATATTTTCAGTAGCTACATTGATCATATGTTTAATTTGGTGGGGTTTGTCCTCAGACAGTGTATTCTAAATTTATATCAAAGACTGATTCCCCACATGCACCCCCACAAACCCAATGGCCAGATGGACACTTTTTGTAGATGATTAGGGAGCTAGGTTTAGATGCATTTATAGATAGAATTGAATTTTAGATTTCACCTCAGCTTTAAATTTTGATCTTATGCCTTCTCAAGTTCCATAACCTCATGCTTGAAGAGGCTGATTCTTAGTTGGGTTTCAACTTTTGGCCATTCAGAGAGGGGTGCCTTGGCATCATTAGTGCATGTGGAGATTAAAAGATTTGATGACACTCCTTCCTGGGGTTATGCTTATTGCAACTCAAATATGAGAAATTAGGATAGCCATTTTTTACACTCCAATTTGAGGAATTCTGAGGGACTTTTTCTCTTAACTTCCTTCACTGTTTGTTACCAAAATTGATCTAAATTATCATTTCTTTACATGAAGATTAATGCCTTTTTTAGCTTTCTTCCTTCCCCTCCCACCCCTCTTAAAGCAAAACAAGGGTTTAAGTTCCATCCAAACAGGTGGTAAGCTGCTTTAATAAATATTGTATTTGCCCATGATAGAGGTACAAGTCTACAGGGTGTGTGAATAGACTATTAAAGCCTTTTGCCCTTTAAAAGTTTTCCTTTAGTTAGAGTAAGCTTTAAGATCTTTTTTTGAGAGATCTTAAAGCTGTCAGCGGAAATTTTGACCCGTCTTGCTAAGTTAGTGATGTTTGTGATAAAGACGCTTCTGATACTTGATACTCCCTCCGTCCCATTGGACTTTGCCAACTTTCTCTTTTTGGTTGTCCCAAAAAACTTTGTCACTTTCCGGTAACTAATTTGTGATTCTACACATTTCTTTCTCCTCTACACAAATCTCAATCACACAGTTTTTACTATTTTTATTTCTCACCTACTTTTCACTTGGCAAAGTCTACCGGGACGGAGGTAATACTTAACAGTTGGCTGATGTCCTATAATAGGTGTTCAACTATCTTTGTTCAAAAGTGTTTGAGAATTGAGTTGAGGTTATTCAATACTTTAGGAATAACTGTTTGTGTACTTTGGCGATGCATAGCTTTATGTTGCCAATCAACCTCTTTGGTTATGGATTAGCTTTCTTGGGTGTGGCATACTACAATCACTCAAAACTACAGGCACTTAAGGGCAAGGAGTCACAGAAGAAGCCCCCTCAGACTCATGATGAGGAGGCTGGCAGGTTGTTGGAGGAAAGGGAAGGGGAGAATGTACCTAAAAATAATGAATCACCCTAATAAGACCACACTATATGAGTGTTCATGAGTTTTTTATAGGGTGGGATATTTATGGAGAGAAGAACTGAAAAATGAAAATCAGATGACATTTGGTTTTCTTTGGGCAAAATAGTTACCTGAAACGTTTTTTATCTACTAGATTTAAGGTGCCCCATATTAGATCATTCGTATGTCTAAAGCTTTACTTGAGGCTCTTTATATTTGTCTTACATTTGACATTCGATTTATTTAATTAATTAACATGATTTTCAAGCTCCTTAAGAAAAAAGCTAAGAGATACTCCGTAGCCCGTACGTAGTAATATACAGTTAGATTGGGTAAACAGATCAATCCTGTTTTAATGTAGTCTGCAAAAAAGGATGACATCCCATCCCTGAGGGCCCCAACCCCGACCGGACGGTACATTGAGAGGATGTAAATTGGACTATAATCTCAATCTGACAAATAGAGAGTGAGGCTGTCATCGGTACTTGCAGAGGTCCTATGCATTTTTAGGATAGTAATGCCTCATCGCAGTTGCCGGGATTCGAACTCGGAACCTAACCCTTGTGGCACTTCTTTGCTGCCAGTTGAGCTACGTCCACCGACGGCTTTAATGCAGTCTGCTATTTTATATATGGAGGTTGACTATGGCTATGGAGGAAGTGGGAATGCACGTTAATGTATTCAAATATAAAAATACAAGGATATATCTATTATCTAGGCATGTAAAAAAGAATGGTTTGTAAGGATGTGCCCTACCCCAAGATCAAGACATTTGGGGCCGGGTCTGCCCCGCCCAATCATGGAAATGAGGTAGGTGGGTCTGCCATGCCATGGCATACAAAGGGGTAGGCGGGTGTGTGTAGTAGTATTGACCCGCTTCACTCAATATAAGTATACATATATTTTTAAAAAATAATACTATAAATATACATATATGTGTGTAATAAATAATATATTCCTTGGTCTTGTAATATATTAATGTTTATGTTGTAACAAAATAATGTTTTTTTATTAGCACTTTATAGATTCATTTATTAATATAAATAGATTAACTATTCAAGTTTAGGTATTTTTTCATAAATACTACTCCCTCCGTTTCTAAATAAACTTCCAACTTTCCTTTTTCATCCGTTCTAATTAAAACTTCCACTTTCTCTTTTCGATAAAGAATTTGTGGTTCACAACATTTCTTACACATTTCTCTCTCCCCTACACAACTCTCCACCAAGGGCGGACCCACCCTAGGGCTAGGGGGTGCCCGTGCCCCTGCGGTGATATATATATATATATATATATATATATATATATATATATATATATATATATATATATATATATATATATATATTGGAAAATTCTCAGGTCCAGCACCTCCCGGTCCGAACGCCGTCCGAACATCGTCGTTTGGGGCGGTTCCAGGTAGAAGTTTTTGATGAATTTTTTTGAGCATGTTCCTCATCAAGTATAGTTTATCCATACCAAATTTCAGGTCAAAATTCGACCGGGAAGGCAGTCAAATAATTCGTTGAAGTTAACTGCGTTTTTCTATGTATAATTTGGCGCAATTAACTTCAACGAATTATTTGACTGCCTTTCTGATCTAATTTTGAGCTGAAGTTTGGTATGAATAAACTAGACTTGATAAGGAAAACATGCTCAAAAATTTTCATCAAAATATTCCACCGGGAACCGCCCCAAATGCCGGTGTTCGGACGGCGTTCGGACAGAAAAGTGCTGGACAGAAAAGTTATGTCGATTGAGACTTATGATGTTAATATTAGAGATGAGTTGAGGAGACGTTATTTGAGAAAAGGTCCTTGCCAACCGCGTGACTTTAAATTTCCACAAAGTGATTTTAATGGGCGCAACAGATCATTCCAAAAACAGTGATTTTATTTAAATTTTATAGTTTTGTTTATTGCTATACTCGTGATGCATATGATTTTTTTCTAGACTAGTATATCATTTCTTTGTTATTGTGCCCCTGCGAGTCACGAGTCCTGGTTCCGCCACTGCTCTCCACCACACAATATCCACTATCTTAAACTTTGTGCCAAACCCATTTGGAAGTTAAAATGGGAACGAAGGTAGTAACACTTTTTATTGTAGTGTGACTTTGATTTATTTTATTCATTTCTTTATAATTGTTGAAACTAATCCAACATGAAATAGTAAATAAATGTATAAAATTGTATGAATACTCTGTTTTAACGTGGAAACCCGAAAACGTGAAAATCACGAGACTTTTTAGATTAAAACTCTGATAATCCCAAATGAACTTTAATACTCCTCCCGTCCCATAATTTACTTCCAACTTTCCCTTTTCGTCTGTCCCAAAAAGAAATCCTCTTTCCCTTTTTGGCAAAGAATTTGTGGTTCACAGCAATTCTTACACATTCTTACACATTTTTCTCTCCTCTGCACAACTCTCCATCACACAATTCTCATTTTCTTAATCTGTGTGTCATTTGTACTATGGAAGTAAATTCCGGGACGGAGGGAGTACCAAAATATCACAAGCTAAAACTCTGAAATAAAAATTGCAAACTGATTTTTACAAAGAGTGTTCTTGAAAGAATCACTTTTATTATATAACTACTGATATAAACAAAGGTAAAGAAAGGAGGAAGATGATAATTCCTCTCTGAATTGGTGTGTTATTTGCCGCCTTCTTGATTTCTTTGGGCAAATAATATCATTCCTGTTCAATTGTGCATTTTATTTCTTCGTTGCGGCTGTTCTCAACCTCTTTGATTGCAGATTGAAAGATGATGAAGACAATTGGAGTTCGTAGGTCCTTTCATGGCTTGGCTTTATCAATAATTCAATATATTTACTCCTTTGTATTTTTTCTTTGAGAACTTCCACGGTGGAGCTTCACTCTCAATGAGTGAATAATGTCAACCAGATTTTGGCTCTTCTCCGCCACTTGATTATTTTGGCTGGTGCTCTGAGCCAAAAATAGAGTCATGAGGTCCCTAAACTAATGTAACTCTAATGAAAATAATTTTTTTGGGAAGCAATTAATATAAATTTTAAAAAAAATATTAAGAAACATAATGTTTCATAGTTAACGTACATCATCAAAACATTAAGATAGTATAAAGCAAAAAATTATAGTACATATAAAAGTTATTCTACAATTCTACAAATGTACCTTCCTAGGTTCGCAACATGCAATGTACATAAAATCTATCTTTTTTATTCCATGCTGAAAACCCTATTCCGAACAAAAGATTACAACCAACTTCTCACTCATTCTTAAACAAATACAAGTAACATGGTAAACAATATGCAGCATCTTTGTCAATAGTGTATTCCAACCATTTATGCTTATCAAACCAACTTGAAACAAATCTACATTTTTTTACCGTCAGTTATCTAAAAGGGAAATCATGATCACGAGGATGAAACAACCGTTTTTGAAGGTAACTACGGCGTACAGCGTATCTCGTCTTGAACATTAGGATGAAAATCAACATGTTGTTCATGTAGATTATAAGCCAAATTAGTTTCACTTTCAGGAATTACTTGATTAAATTCTTCATTTATTAAAGGCAAATCATTTGAATTAACATATGAACTACTCCCAGTACTCCAAATTTCTTTGAATCTGAGTACACTACTGAAATATCTTTTCATCCTAAATCGTAAAATATTGAAAAAACATTCATAAATACATAAATTTATTAATTTAATCTTGACATTCAAATAAATTGTAATAATTAATAAAAAACGATTTATGAAAAAGTAAACAATAAAACTTGTGCAAGGCCGGAGGTCTG